GACATGAATATGACAGTGGGCAAATGAATAAAGCGCAGCATAATTTGAAATCACGAGTTTAGTTTGTCGATAGCGCGTCTCAGTGAAGCTGAACTCTCTTTCTGTCCACATTCAATTCACACGGACCGACCGTCACGCAGAGAGCACGCGATCATGCAGGATACAAATGCACACTTCTCAAGATCTCAACTAGATTCGACTAAGTCTGCAAGGTTTGTGAAATTAAATGTTCATTAGTCATTCAAAGATTTGTTTAAATTATATTAATGCGTATTTGCTGAATGCTGACGGCAAACGAGAAAGTATTATAATGTTTGCCTTTCTATTACTAATAATATTAAAGCAATCATTATAATACTTTTTTGTATAAATTTTAATTCCTTTGTTTAACAGTTCTATCTCATTATTAGACAGACTTATCCATATTAGACAGAACTGAATGATGACAGCGAACAAGAGGGAGAATGTAAGCGGTGTGTGCTCAGGCGCTGCCGTTCTCAGTGCCGTCAAAATAAAAGTCCCGCCTCAAACACATCGGCCAAACAGAAAAACGTATCGGCCGATGCCGATATTTGAAACATGCCAAATATCGGCCGATATATCGGTCGACCACTACATATGATTATGTTGGAAAGAATTATGGATAATGTAGTTGTCACATGAAAAAAAGCACAATGGTAAAACAATGCTAAATTAAGCTCTATAGCTACACTTCATCAACAGTATAGAAAATAGGGCTGCACAAAATACCAGAATAAAACATGGCTTAGTGTGATTATCTAATTGCAAAAGCTGTGATTTATTTAAATAATTATATGTTTATTTATTTGCTGGAAAACTGACAAAATAAAAGCCTGGTTTTTATTTTACAATATTATTACAATATATTTCTTGTTTTTACGTAATAATAATCAGAATGCAAATAATTAAGAATTATTATTTTGAATGGGTAATAAAGAGCAGGAATGTATGAAAACTTGGAAAGAGATTTTCTTTTAAACTGTTCACTTTACAGTTACTGAAAGAGGTTTGATTTGGTTTTTGTGAAGAGTATATAGTGTACAACACCCTGATTTGCCAAGTTTTTCCACAAATCATTCAGTTATCCCCCACAATTTTCAGAGTAAATGTCATTTAGTTAAATTTTCAATGTAGACTTCCCCACAAAACACCCAAAATTAATCATTCAAATAATCCGATGAAAATTCCTGTATTTTTTCATATAGCAATGAAGAGAAACTAAATGTTCCTATGTCAGTTTTTATTATTATTATTATTATTATTATTATTATTATTATTAAAAACAGCTCCAAAATGGGGCTGAAGATTTTAAAATCTCATCTCCTAAATCCACCCTCATCTCTATTAATAAACCAAAAACTACTGTAAGTGACATTTCCTCCTTTAGCCACTTCCTGTTTCCTGACAGGATATCGAAGGCACAGCACTAATGTGCAGATAATAAATGATTTATATTTAATTCACATTTCGATCAGCAACTTTCCAAAGTGTCCAGAAATATCCGACTCACTGATTTGAGTTCTACCAGTATGAGTATGTACAGTAGTAACTACCTGAATGTAGTGATTTGCATTTCCTCTTGTTTGCCACTAGGGCTGCAAAACGATTAATCGCGTGTGTAATATGTGTGTGTAATGTATATATTTATTATGTATATATATATAAATACACACAAACACACACATGTAAATATTAAGGAAAAATAATGTGTTAGGTCTATATATAAAATATTTATATATAATATAAATTACATACAAGTATAAATATATATACACATACAATTTATTTTAAAAATACGGGTCAAAGACGAAAAAGGGTTTAAGCATAAAAACAATAAGTGTAA